CCTTCAGGGTGGATATAGCTCGCTAGCAGCCTCACGATGACCTATCCACATCATCATTTACCCAGAATGCTTTGTGTGTAAATAAAATGGCCCCATCCGTGTACTATATTTTTAAACTTTTAGTTTAAAAATGATAAAAACTGAACATCCTACAGTAAATTTACAGTCTTTATTTTACAGTTAAAGTATATGTTTATCAAATAAAGTCTAATGTTACAACTAATCGGGGATCCGATCATTGCTACTAAATACTAATAAAATAGATGGAAACTTGTGACTTTGAAGTAATGAAACATTCTCTCTTTATACGAGTATTTAGAAAATAAAACAGGAAAGATTTAGTCTGATTTGATGTCAGCAAAGGAAAAAACTATTGTTTTTTTTAATGCAGTGTATGTAAACATTTGGTTTTTACTGCGTTTAATGTACCAATATGTTTTGTTTTAATACAGAACGGCCACGCCTGAATTACATCAGATTATTCTGTATGTTGCTTCTTTTTCCACAAAGGCAAAGTCTTACAGTAACTGCTGGATGACTTGGTTATTGCATTATTTTCAGCTTGTAAAGTCCTGCATAAATTCCTCAAACCTCGAAGGAAACAAACAAATATAAATCACATGTCCGCGATGTCACAGCTTGAGATTGAATTTGATTTGTGCTTTTCTTGCGCAGCTTGTTCGTGGTGTGGCTCGACCACAGCACAGTTGATTCAGTTTGTTTCAGGAAACCTCAGTATTATTTAATGCAAATTAATTTCCTCGGGAAAGGGGGAAAAATAAAAAAAATATATAAAAAAAACAGTTGCACAAGATCTGCAAGCCAGCCAAGCAAACTCAGTCAGCACCTGCCAAAGTACTTGTTGAATCACCGGCCTCGGTCATCAGCGCTGTCGAGTCCCTAAAGACATTTGATACACGCTTTTACTGTAGCATGGAAACAAAACACTCCCATAAAAAGCTTGTGTCTGCAACATTCAACCACTTCAAATCCCGAGGATGTAAAAAAAAAAAAAAAAGCATAATTCACTCTTCAACTCAACAGCAACTGTCAGAGGTACCCTCAAGCTAAAAACTCAACCCATGGATGGAGCGGCTCAGGAGTCAACACTGTGGTTTTAACCCAGCTGCTCCCAGGTGAGATGCTGTGTTGTGTTAGGCGCAGGGAAAAGCAGGGCCCGTCAAGCACATCTTTACTGTAGAAGTAAAGCTGGGGAGAAAATAAAAAAAAAAAAGAAAACTAATGAGTCACTGGGGAATCTATGGAAGTACAACAACAAGATTTTGTCTCTTTTCTTCGACACGTCGCAGTTCCAGGGCTGAACTTACTGAACTGAGCTGTCTGCCTGGAGGAGGCCTGGATTATGCTGCTGGTGAAATTCCTTTTCTTACCTCGGCTCATAAACTGCACACAAAAAAAAAAGTCTGAAGAGGCTGACAGCATTGTTGGACTTCATGATTAAAAGCTTCATCATTCTAATGCTGGCAGCTGTAAATGTGTCTGACAGCTGTTTAAAGTTACAACACGGGGCAGAACGCTTCAGGATGGAGCTGTAGCCAAGTAGGTCAAACTTAGAAAGTAACATCGTTTACAGAAGAAGCATTGTGGACAGGGCTGTAAATCACCAGCTTTAACATGAAACAATAGGATTTCGATTTGTTTGGATGACGAAACAATGTTTCTCAATATCACGAAGTCTATCATGAAACAATTTCGATGCAATTCAGTTCACAAGTCTGACATATGATGGGATATCATATGATTGTGTTGGACATTGATCCACATCAGACATATGATGATGAGATGGATCAGTGTTTTCATTTTACCTTGATGCGACTGAATCATTTAATCGCGAGGTTCTCAAACTGAGGTCCCAGGATCCCCAGGGGTCTGTGAGAGATATCTTGGGGGTCCTCAAAAAATTTCACTAAATTGTTAATTTGGTTTTTATTTTTAAATATCCATCGACAGCAACGAACTAATACAACAAACACAACATATATATATATATATATATATATATATATATATATATATATATATATATAGTCATGGCATTTAGGGGTTAAAATGACAGTAAATGATCTTTTAAAGCAGCATGGGGTTTATGAGGGGATCCCTGGAATTTTTTTGCACTTGAAAGGGGTCCCCAGACCCAAAATGTTTGAGAACCCCTGTGCTAGCTTAGCAATTGGAGTGGAGAAAGTGAATGAAGTCATTCAGTCCATGATGACAAGGCTTCCAAATTAAATAAAATTTGTCTCACAAAGCCTGCAGCTCTCGTTTACAGCCGTCTCGTTCAGCTCAGTGCTTCTCTCTTAAAAGTAGGGGATGGTTGTTTAATCGACATCGTTGTGGATCGATGTATAACTGTGAAAGACTCTCAGCCACTGCCACACCAATCTTTAACTGAATAAAACCATCTGGGTTATGACCGTTTATGGGTTTACTAATGTTTAGTCAAAATCTACCCAGTGCTTCATGATCCTTTTCCAACATGAGAGACAAATGAAGACAGACACTGTCAAAAACACCGGTGGTTGTAACAATTTCTGTCCTGTAAAAGCTGTGAAATAATCACTGAGAAACCACACTGCCTATCCAAACAAAAGGTCACCACCTGGATTTAACTAAGCAAATAATTAAGAGCCTCTTATTGGATAATTACTGCAAGGGTGATTATGTTTTAGCTGGCAACAAGTTATTTAACCCTAACTGATGCAGTGGGAAGGTTCTTACTTTATAACCATGTTGAAAGACACATCCTGTGTTTGGGAAAAAGATAGTCTGTTTCAGACCAGTCAGATTGTTGGCATTAAGCAGAGAAAACATCTAAGGAGATTGCTGAAATCAATAAAATTGGGTTAAGAACTGTCCAACACATTATTAGAAACTGAAAGGATAGTGGGGAAAAGGAAAGGCGACTGTAGAATTTACTGTTTAATAGTGAAAGTGAAAGCATTTCCATATGCAGACTGTGAAGGGAACTCAAGGTATTGGAACTAAACAGCAGTGTATCTGTAAAAATAACTACTTATCAGTAAAGCTAATTAGGGAAATATCAGCTTTAATTTGCTAGATAGCATAGAAATTGGACTCTGGTGCAATGAAGGAAAGTCGTTTGAGTCCAGATTTACTCTGTTCCAGAGTGACGGAGCATCAGGGTAAGAAGAGAGGCAGGTGAAGTCATGCACCCATCATGTCTGGTATCTACTGTACAAGCCTGTGGGGACAGTGCTATGATCGGTTGCTGCAGTCGGTCTGGTATGGGTTCAGCCCAAAGAATGAGGTCAGCTGACTACCTGAATATTACTGAGTGACCAGGTTATTTACTCTAAAGATTTTCTCTTCTCTAAGGGCACAGACGTGTTCACTGCCAGGATTCATCAAGCTCAAATTATGAAAAGTTGGTTCAGGGAGCATGACATGTCAGAGTCCAGGCCTGAACCCCTTTGAGAACCTTTGGGATGTACTGGAGAAGACTTTGCGCAGTGGTCCAAATCTCCCATCATCAATAGAAATCTTGGTGAAAATATGACTGATGCAACTCTGGACAGAAATAACTCACCTAGCAGGCAAGTGTGTGTCAGGTCTGCAATCAAGCTGGCACTGCTGACATAGCAAGTGGTTTGTCAAAAGGATGTGGGTTCAGGTCAGCAACAATGGCAATGTTTATCAGATGACTTGCCAGGACTGGACCAGTCGTGTTTATGTTCATGTGGTGCTGGCCCACGCATGGATCACCTCTGGCAAACCACATCTAGGCCACCAAATGACTGTCATTCTCTGCAGTATCTGGACCAAGTGTTAGAGTGTTGTGAAATGACTTGTGGAGCTTGTGGAAATGATGCCACAGCAATTGTGCGCTGTAATGAAAGCTAAAGGTGGTCCAACAAAATATTCAGGTGTGACCTTTGTTTTGGCAGTGTACTTGCCAATAAACATCTTTTTGCATGTGCTGTTGCCACAAAATGTCTTCCCTTCTCTCCTACAATCTCCCAAAGTGTCTCATCCTTTTTCATACATTAAAAATGTTAGCTGTCAAAAAAAAAAACATCTGTAAAGACACTTACACATGCAGGCTGTTTGTAACTGAAAACAAAGTGATCTGGTGTAAATACAGTATACAGTGGGGTACAAAAGTTTGGGCAGCCTTGTTAATTTTCCTGATTTACCTTAATAAATCATTGATTGTTTGGATAAAAAAATCAGTTACATAAATCATATAGGGGACAAACACATATATATGATATTTAAGATATTTGAGAAGTGAAATGAAATTGATGTGATTTACAGAAAGTGTGCAATAATTGTTTAAACTAAATTAGGCAGGTACATAAATTTGGGAACTGTTTTCATTTTATTGATTTCAAAACCTTTAGAACTAATTATTGGATCATAAATTTGATTTGGTAAGTTCAGTGACCCTTGACCTCCATACACAGGTGACTCCAATTATGCTTAAGGGTATTTAAGGGGGGCAATTGTATGTTTTTCTCCTCTTTGCATCTTTTTTGATGAGTCACAGCATGGGAGTCTCAAAACAAGTTTCAAACTAGCTGAAAACAAAGATTGTTCACCGTCATGGTTTAGGGGAAGGATACAGAAAGCTATCTCAGAGATTTCAGCTTTCAGTCTCCACTGTGAGAAACATTGTGAGAAAATGGAGGACCACAGGCACAGTTCAAGTCAAGGATCGAAGTGGCAGACCAAGAAAAATCTGGAATAAACAGAAGTGAAGGATGTTGAGAACAGTCAGAGTCAACCCACAGACCAGCACCAAAGACCTACAACATCATCTTGCTGCTGATGGAGTCACTGTGCATCGTTCAACTATTCAGCACTTTACACAAGGAGATGCTGTATGGGAGAGTGATGCAGAGGAAGCCTTTTTTCCGCCCACATCACAAACAGAGCTGCTTGAGGTATGCTAAAGCACATTTGGACAAACCAGCTTCATTTTGGAATAAGGTGCTGTGGACTGATGAAACTAAAATAGAGTTATTTGGACAGAACAAGGTCCGTTATGCATGGAGGAAAAAGAACACAGCACTCCAAGAAAAACACCTGCTACCTACAGTAAAATGTGGTGGTGGTTCCATCATGCTGTGGGGCTGTGTGGCCAGTACAGGGACTGGGAATCTTCTTAAAGTTGAGGGACACGTGGATTCCAACCAATATCAGCAGATTCTGGAGACCAGTGTCCAGGAATCAGTGACAAAGCTGAAGCTGCTGAAGCCGGGGCTGCATCTTCCAACAAGACAACAACCCTAAACAGGGTCAAAATCTACTAAGACCTTCATGCAGAGGAACAAGTTCAACATTCTGGAATGGCCATCTCAGTCCCCAGACCTGAATATTATTGAAAATCTGTGGTGTCACTTAAAGAGAGCTGTCCATTCTCAGAAACCATCAAACCTGAATGAACTAGAGATGTTTTGTAAAGAAGAATGGTCTAAAATACCTTCAGCCACAATCCAGACTCTCATTAGAAGCTATAGGAAGTGTTTAGAGGCTGTTATTTCTGTGAAAGGAGGATCTACTAAATATTGAGTTAAGAGATTTTTATGGTGCCCAAATTTATGCACCTGCCTAATTTTGTTTGAACAATTATTGCACACTTTCTGTAAATCATATCAACTTCGTTTCACTTCTCAAATATCACTGTGTTTGTCCCCTATATGATATATTTTACTGATTTTTTTAATCCAAACAATCAATGACTTATAAAGGTAAATCAGGAAAATTAACAAGGCTGTCCAAACTTTCGCACCCCACTGTAGGCATCAGATCAAACTCACAGCGAAAGCATGAGGTTGACAAAATTTGACGTAATTATCACGTTAGTCATTGCGTGGGCACACGTTATCTCTTGGCCATGTGAAAAAAAATTTTTTATTCCATGTCATCGGACGTGCTCCACAATTTTATGCCAAACACTGTCTTTTTATTTTTTAAAGATTTATTCTGCTGCTTATTGCGGAATATAAAAATGTCTGATGCTAACATTGTGTGCAGGAAGGGTCAAACAACAACAAAAGAAGAATTGCATATCTTTGAAGCTAGATATTGAAATTATGAAAATCTGTTCTTAAATAAAAATACATTTTATACAATTTGGCTAATACTTGAAAATATTGTAGACATTCACAGGTGAGAACTGTTAGCAGTCACAGAATGTGTTGGGAATGAGTCTCAGCTACTACCATAGTAAATTAGAGGCCAATGCTAGTAACAGTGACTGAGTTATTGCTATAACTTAGTCTGCTAAAGTCAGTTATCTGTGTGGCCATCTTGGTTTGGATTAGAATAGGAAATATGTATGTTAGTAAAATATTTCATGAATATCTGGAAGGATTTTAATAAAACTCTCTAATAGTCTTTGACCCCCGCTCACATCAAGACGGCTCTCTGCTCAAAGCAAACACAATTAGGGCTGGGGTAGTTTAAGGCCAGGCCCATTGTGTATTGCCTTACAATGTATAAAAGGCCATGTAAGTAATCACAGCCTTAGCTTTTTAACGTCTGCAGTTGACCTACCATATTTATTCAAGTATAATACGTAAAATTAAATCCATAACATCATCCATAAAGTTGGGGGGGAAGTACTATACTCAGATAAATATTTTTACTTATGTATTTTAACTAAAATATCGGCTTCATTCACTAAATTATTGAGTCCGGAAATGAGACCGCATCGTAAAATCAGTTGAAAAGAGCTTACCCCTGACACTCCTTCGTGCTTCAGAGCGAGGTAGTAACAGATCCAGGCAGGTGACATGATGTGAAAAAAAGGGGGAAAGCAGTCCTGCAGCTCAGTAATGATAACGAACTAATGACATTGGCGTGTGACCGGGCTGCTCCTGGAACAACAACAAATACATGTTTGTCTGTAATGGCTGCCGTCTACCGGTGTTCTGAAAAAGTTTGTATCCCTGAAAAAACTTTTCCCCACCACGCGAGTAGGAAGTAATCTGCTTTTCCCCCACAAGATGGCCCAAACCTCATGTGAAGTCTGACTTTTGTGTTGGCGCATCCTGGTGGACTATGTGTAAAATGCCAGAATTCATATGATATATGATGTACTGTATATATCTGATATATTATACTGATGTATATAGCTGATATACTGTATATTAGCTGTCAAAATACCTTTTAGTACATATGTTGTTAAAATAAAACAAACAGTCCAATAATCATTTTACTGATATGTATAAAGACTGCAAAGGCTGAAAAATATTGAAGTCTGTATAAAATTGGAGGTAGTTTGAGGATTAAAATTTTTATGCTTTTTAAGTTAAAAAGGGGGGGGGGGGTCGTATTATACATGAATAAATACAGTAACTGAAGAGGACTACCACAGCTAGTCAACTTTAGCCTACACAATAAAGGCTCTGACTGGATTTTACAAATATTAAGTTCAAATTTGGTGTGGTAGGAGCTTACTGTCATCCACAGCACGTATCTGAACAGGTCATGAGAGATATAATGATCTTAGTCTAAAATTTGATGGGTGATACGCATTCCTTCCAGAAATTCTTGACTTTTATAGTACTCAAGTCTTTAGTTTCCCTCTGAAATCTGATGGTCCTAATGGTCCTTGACATCAGAAAGCAGTCGTTCAGCACACTGCATCTTTTGAGGAGAATGCAAGCATTTTTATCGTCTCCCTCCCACGCTGTTTTTGAGCTGATATGAAGTTCTGCATGTTTAGGAACTCGCTAACCTCCCACACGACCATCTGCTATCATGCTGTGCGTTTGGAAACTATGCACCATGCTCTCTCGCGGTGAGAGTCCTCCGATCCAGCAGAAGTTTGTCCTGAAAACCTGTCTGTGAGAGTTACAGCACCAGGAAGTCTGAGTCTGCTTTTATGAGCTGCTGTTAGATCAGTGTGGTGGTCGACAAGTGAGTACAGTTAATCTAAGATCAGCTTACTGTGAGAAGAGATGGAGTTATGGCTATTTAAGTCAAAAAACTGTACCACTTTGTTTTAGCCGTTTCTTTTTAAAAGGTTTCTAAATAAAGTGGAGTAACTGTAAAATTAATGAATATTTAAAGTACAAGGCACATACATGTCAACCTGTATACTAACCTTCTGAAATTCATAAATTTCACATATTATTGGGGGG